ATTTAGTTTCGTTTTAAACGCAAAATAAATGTTAGCAAACCTCTTTTCCTTGCATATTTTCTTTTTTTGTTAATCCTCACCCAATGATATAGTAGAGTGTGTGTGTCTGTATATAAATATATAAATATATTTGTAAATATACAAATATATGTTTGTAAATATACAAATAAAATACATTTCCATTGATTTCAGAGAGGAAGGGAGAGGGAGAGATAGAAACATCAGTGATAAGAGAGAATCATTGATCAGCTGCCTCCTGCACGCCCCCTACTGGGGATTGAGCCTGCAACCCAGACATGTGACCTTGGCTGGAATTGAACCCGGGACCCTTCAGTCCTCAGGCCAATGCTCTATCCATTGAGCCAAACCAGCTAGGGCATGGTATTTTCTTCCATTGATTTTTAGGGAGAGGAAGGGGGGGGAGAGAGAGAGAGAGAGAGAAACATTGATATGAGAGAGATACATCTATCAGTTGCTTCCTGCACGTGCCCCACTGGGGTCCTGGATCAAACCCACAACCCAGGTACATGCCCTTGACTGGGAATCAAACCCCTGACCAACACTGCCGGCCAACACTCCCACCACAGAGCTGCACCAGCCAGGGCCCTTCTATGTTTTCTTTAGCTATGTTATTAAAATTTTTTAAACCAAACATTATTAACTAAAGAGTAAAAAATAATTGTTTATGCTTTCTGGTTCACTTTTACTAGTACATGTAATGGATGGCTAAATAGATTGCTAAGATGTGAGTCACTTTATAGTTTGTAACCTAGTTTGAGTCTCTTGGGCTCACGCTCAAGTAAGCAAACCACTCAGCTAATATGCTGACTGAGTTGTTGGTTCTCAACTTCTTCTCTTCTTGTCCACTCAGCACCTAGTCAGTTGTATATCCTTTCTACATCATCCCTTGGAAGCTTGTCCTGACACAGCTCTTGCTAGAATCCAACAAGTTGGAACAGGAACCTGACTCAGAGCATACAGAGCCAGTAAGCCAATTGCCCATTTGAGTACTGCTGCTGGAAAAGGCTGTTTTGTTCTTTTGGCCCCTTTTACTGGTGTATATTTTGGGAGAGTGATAAAGTATAAGCCCATTTCTCTCAGTGTGTTATAGCTGATGGAACCCTACACTTGGAGTAGGCCGCTGTAGGTGAAACCACATCTTGAAAAGAATCCCGGTGAAGCAATTCCTGCCAGGAGCTAATAGCTGCGATGTTTTGGTAGAAGTTGCTATGTGATATTTATTTAAGCATTTCCAGAATTTGACTGCTAAAACTTTATTTATGACCCAGGCAAAGGGAAAGGAGATTTGAATAGCAGCTAGGAAACCAGACTTTTTAGTCCCTGATTTTCCTGCCGGGAAACTTCTTACTCAACTTACACCTCCTAAGGAGGGTTAATGAAGAGCAAGACTTGAAACAGTATAAAATGTAAATTATATATATGTTTATTGATTTATGATCCACAAGAAGACTATACATCAAATTCAGGATCTGGAGAGAGATGAAGTGCCTAATGTATCTTTAAGTTTTTATTTAACTTACTGAAGTAATCACAAAATGTTAACATTTGTTAAATCTGGGTGGCAAATACATATTTCTTTTCTGTTGTTTTTCTATAAAATTTAAGTACTTAATAATTAAGGCATAAAAGTCAATAGAGAACATCTTACATATGTGAAGATGAATGAATTTAACTCTACATAACCCTTTTTGTAGAATTAAAGTTTGTCAGGTAAATTATGTATTTACTAGAGGCCTGGTACACGGATTCGTGCACTGGTGGGGTCCCTTGGCCTGACCTGTGGGGATCGGGCCGAAACCACAGTCTGACATCCCCTGAGGGGGTCCTGGATTGCAAGATGGTGCAGGTCAATCAGGACCCCACCGGTGCACAACTGGGGCTGGGGAGGGATCTTGGGAGGGTTCCAGGGTGTGTCTGGCTTGTCTCACCCAGTCCCGATGGACCCCCGCCTCCCCCAGCAGCAAGCTAACCTACCAGTCGGAGATTCTGCTCCCTGGTGGTCAGTGAACGTTATAGCGACTGGTCAAATGGTCCAATGGTTGGACACTTAGCATATTAGGCTTTTGTTATATAGGATTTTTGGTTAAGATTTTTAGGGATGAGGCATTTTGACAATAATCATATGCAAATATTTGGGGTTAGGTGAACTACCCACCACCACTATCATCGTTACTGTCACCATCTAGCCTTGGATATGTTAACTTCTTGGATAGCTATCATTAACAGTATAAGTGGGATCTTGATCTGTTAAAAAGTGGTGATCTACCAGAGTACATATTTTATTGTTGAGTTCAGGCTATGAAGTCTCTGACTATGTGGTTCAACTGTTACCTGTATCAGTAGGTCCATTTTAATGAGGATATGACTCAGATAAATGTTGACTCAATTAGTATTCACTGAATCTTAAAAATTGGTATTTATTTGTTATCAGCCAAAAAGAATGTAACATTACCAAAGCATATTGCTGGCTCATCTATTTAGGTGCTTAGCTTCTGTTGGAAACTACTGCTTGTTTTGAAAGACAAGAAATGCTCTTCCCCCAAGGGGAAAACAGTATATTATTTTCAGGTTACATTTAGAAAATCATAGCAAATGATACTGCTATAGGGACTTTTGGCTATGAAGCCATCCTAACCCTAAACATAAACCTAACCGTAAGCTGAATCCTAACTCAAAACCTAAACGTAACTAAATCTAAACCTAACCCTAAAATTAACCTAACTCTAACCCTAAACCAAACCCTAATCCTAAACCTAACCTTAAAGCTAACCCTAACATAACCCTAAACTTAACCCCTACTGCTAACCATAACCTAACTTTAATCCTAAATATAATCTTAATCCCAACACTAACCCTAACTTTAACCTTAAACATAATCTTAAAGAAAACCCTAAACTTGAAGTTAGACAATTTTTCTATCTTTTTATAGTTCAGATAGTTAAAAGAAAGACCTTTTAAAAGGGGGCAGTGAAGTTCAAATGTTACTACAAATTAAAAACTGTTTTTATGAATTCTATGTTTGTTCTGTTGTGTTTTTTTTAAAGTTATGATAAAAAAAAACTGGCCATATTCCAAAACTCAAACTCAGTTTCCTATAGATAAAATTTTCTTTTTTTAAAATATAATTTTATTGATTTCAGAAAGGAAGGGAGAGGGATAGATAGATAGAAACATCAATGATGAGAGAGAATCATTGATTGGCTGCCCCATGCACGCCTTCTACTGGGGATCAAGCCCACAACCTGGGCATGTGCCCTTGGTCGGAATCAAACCTGGGACCCTACAGTCCACAGACCAACGCTGTATCCACTGGGCCAAACCAGCTAGGGCAGTAAAATTTTCTTAATGAAATTTTTGGAGATCACAGAAATTGAGGAGATTTCAGGATTTGACTACTAAAACCTTATTTATGACCCAGGCAAAAGGAGAGGGCATTTGAGATAGCAGAAAGCCCAGCATTAGTCCCAGACTTTTCCACTGGGAAACTTTCCAGAGAAAGTTAAGGAAGAAGAAGCTGAAACCAGGAAAATACCTGAGTAAATAAATTTAATATTTTTTAAAAAATTGATTTCAGAGAGAGGAAGAGAGAGGGGGAGAGGTATAGAAATATCATTAATTAACTGCCTTGCACGCCCCCTACTGGGGATTGAGCCAGAAACCTGGGCTAGTACCCTGATTGGGAATCCAATATGACCTCCTGGTTCATGGGTGGATGCTCAAACATTGAGCCACACCGGTGGGGCTGGGTAAATAAATTTAAAAGAGCAATGTTACGTATTATATAATGATTCATGACACAGAAAATGCTATGAATCGAATTCAGGATCTGGAGAAAAATCATAAAAAATAATCAAGGGGCTCTGGCTGGTGGGGATCTGTTCTCAGTGGTTAGAGCAGATCATGTGGAAGGAAACCAGTCCATGTGTCTCTCTCACATCCATGTTTCTCTCTCTCTCTTCCCCTCCCATCCTTCCTCCCTTCCACTTCTCTCTAAAAGCAATGGAAAAAATATCCTCAGGTGAGGATTTTAAAAAAGTAATCAAGGGTAAAAATGGCTCATATGATATGAAAAACTGTAGATTATCAATGGAATGCCACTTTTAAAACTTAGTTTTACTGTGATTGTTAATGAAATGACATATATGTAGAAGATGCCCTGGCGGGTATGTAGTCTGACCTTTGCCTACTGCAATAGTTTTCTAGTATCCTTGCCAGATCTTCTCAGGCTTCTAAGATTTGAGGATTTCTGGAGATGGGGATTTCACCGAGTCACACTGTAAAGCACTAGCTTGAAGCTAGGTCCAGGGAAGTCAGTGTCCCTAATGCTACTACCCAAGGTGACTCAGCCACTCGTCAACCCGGCAGTGCATGGCCTCCGCCATGAAATAAAAACACACCCTTGAACTTTCAGATGCTTCTCTGGCAAGTGCAAAATGACATTCTGGGTCTGGCCGACTACCTTCACAGGCTGGTCCTAAGGAATAAACGGAGCCGCCAGTACCCCAGCCAAGTCCATTTAATTGCTCAAGCTCTTCCGTGCTTTTTAGACTCCATTAAGCCCTCTCCTCTCCATATCTCTTTACTAGTCCCCACTGGCGTGAAACCTTCTTTTTCTCTCCGCCTCTGCTACTGAATTCGGCACTTTGTCCAGGATCAAACACAGCGCTTCTTGAACGCCTGCATTTAAGCACTTCAGGCTCAAGCTGCGATCAGTCTGGGAGAGTCGATCCAATGAATGAAAGGCCAGCGTAGCAGTAGGAAGGCTGCTGTTTTTAACGCAGAGGCGGTCGGAGCCAGAGAGGACCACAGTCCGCGCTCTCTCGGTGCCTCGGTGATTGCCAGCGGCGAACGGGTGGGCGGGGCCTCTGCGACCCTCTCTGCCCTGGCCCCTGGGCCGGCCTCCAGGTTTCCCAGCAAGCTCCGGGGCAGAGGAGGTGGGGAAAGGAGGTCATCGCGCCTGCGCGCTCGGTGGCATGACCCGGGTGGGAAAGCCCTTCGCGTCCGCCATTTTGGCTGCCTCTGTCGGTCCGTTCAGTTACCACGTGAACCGCCGACGGAGACCCGTGGTGGGTGGGGGGGAAGCGGCGGCCGCGTAAAGTGAGAAAGGGAAAAAGACAACGAAGGGGAAAGGGGTGTCGCGGCTGGGCGGCGCGGTGACACCCGAGGCCCGGTCGCGGCGGTGGATCGGGGCATTCAGGGCTGCAGCCCCCAGGGAACGGCGGCGGTCGGACAAACACACTGACCGAGCCGGGCGGTGGCGGGAGCAGCGGGAGGAGCCGGAACGATGCCGGCCGTGAGCCTCCCGCCCAAGGAGAACGCGCTCTTCAAGCGGATCTTGGTAAGTGTGAGGCTCCGGGCCAGCCGTGGGCAAAATCCAGCCGGTTCCCGGGCCTGTCACCCGTAACCTCGGCCCGACGGGCTCCGAGCCACCCTCGCCCGGGACCCCGCCTTCGTTACTTGTCGTCTGGTGGCGGAATGAACTCTGTCGCCCCCTCCCTCTGGCTCCCGCTTCGGCCCGTGCGCCGGGGGCCCGCGGCTTCCTCCTCGGGTCCCCTCGCTTCAGAGGCCGTGGTCCCTGGCTAGGCCCTGTCCTCCCCGCTTCTCGTTTGCCGGTATCCACATCCCTCCCTGAGCGACGGAAGGAGAGGCCGGGCCTGGAGGAGGGAAGCCGGCACCGGGGCCGGAGCCGCGG